AGAGGTAGTATACCAAAACAGTCATCTTCATTATCATTTCCAAGGGAAATGGTAGGAGATATTGATCCGGATGAGCTGGATTGGGACAAGACTGTTTTGGGGTCTTGGCTTTGTATAATGTTTTGGACAATTTGTAAGTATTCTTCTTCAGTTCTAGCAGAGGCAAGGAGAGCTGCTGTTTGAGCCTTTCTGGCTAGAAACTTTGATTGAGGATAATGGTCAATTATGGGAGTTGTCTGATGTTTTTGTAACCATTCTGTAACAACTGATTTGGAACTTTTGGATTCAGCTGCAAAGGAATCCCACCATTTGATTTTGAATTTGCGAATAAGAACTAGATGTCCGTTTTGTAGATTATAATCATAGAACCATGAACATACCCACGGAATAAAAAATTTTGTACAGAAAATGAGTAGAGAAGAGAACTTTCTTTCGGAAGGAGCTGGTTGAAAATTATTTTTGAAATGAAGGTAGCTGTTTTCAACTAGGGGATGGTCTTTCAGGTAGTCAACATGACAGCCATAGTACTCCCACCATTGGAGGAACTAGAGGGGGAGGTTTGTAGTGTCCATGTCATTATGGAAGTAAAAAAGCCAAGAATGACTATGGTTTGGATTTTGGAGGAGGAAGGTATTGAACCATGCCTGTTGATAATCCCAATATGTATATGATGTATTAAATTCTTGGGGGTTTGTACGAAAGTTTATAGGGACAGAAAGGGGTTGATGTAATGGTTGCTCCTAGTCTTTAGGGTGAATGACTTTTTGAATAATGCATGTAGAATATGCCGGTTCAGTGTGGCTAGAATGAATTTTGAAGTGTTTGAATTTGACAGAATTAGTGATTTCAAGGATCGTGGCATAATAAGATTGTGGTTTGGCCAAATTCTAAGGTTTGTAGTGTCAGTTGGAGGGGAAAATTTTGGATGCAGCAATGGAAGGGTTTCCATGATAAAATCCTTCTTCCATAGTTAAGATATTTTGGAAAGTAGTTTTGAAAATATATTTGGATTTTGTTTTTGGAAAGCTAGTTTGTTGTAAAGAAAGGAGGGGTTTTGAAGTAGAAATGCCTCCTTGGGGTTTTGAAAGAGGTTTTGAAATACTACCTGTTTGAGATACAGAGTCACCGGATGTTTGTTGAGACACCTCTTGTAATGCTAGAAGTAATTCTGGTGATTTAGATATAGTGTCAACCCATTGTTGAACTGCGTCGGTTTGTACCTGTTGGGGTTTTGTAGTGTCTTCTTCTTTAATTACTGCCTCATACCAGGATTTGATTGGTTTGGCAGATAGGATGGCTGAGGACATGAGTTTTGTAGAGGGCTTCGGGCTTTCTAGTTTGGTAGGCTGGGTTTAAGGGGCTTTGCCCTTGTCTTTGGCCTTTGCTTTGGGAGGCATCAAGACCTGTTTTGAAGGAATTCGCGGGTTAGGAAGTCAGGAATGGAATTTGAATCTCCTTTAGTGTAGACAATATCAAAATAAAAAATGCTTAAAATGGCTTGCCATCTGGCAAAAATCTGTTTGGAAGTAAGATTTGGACATCTTTTTGTAGAACTTCTTTTGCGGATTTGCAATCAACTTGTAAAAGAAATTTTTGATTGAGTAAATCACTTTGAAATTTTGTAATACAGAGAACAATGGAAAGGATCTCTTTTTTTATAGTGGAGTAATTTTTCTGGCAGTCATTCCAGTGAGCAGACGTGTATTGAAGGATTTGTTCTTTGTTATCTTGAATTTGTTTGAGAATGCCGCCATAACCTATGTCAGAGGCATCAGTCTCAAGGATTTTAGGGGCTAACAGGTTGGCTAGATGGAGAAGAGGAATGGTCTGAACTTGCTTCTTAATCTCTTTGACTAGGTTGGTATGGAGGTCGGACCAAGGGATGGGATTTGTTTTTAATCGGTCATGTAAAGGTTTGGCCAGACGACTAATATTAGGGTAGTAGTCTAGAACATAATTAAGATTGCTTAAGAACCTTTGTAATTGGGTTTTATCGGTGATCTTATCAGGAAATTTGTTGGTAAAGGTAAGGGACCTCTCTATTGGTGTGACAGTGCCTTGGCATATATAATGGCCTAGGAAACGGACAAGAGTTTGGAAGAGGGAGATTTTTATCTTAGAAACAATTAAACCATTTTATTTTACAGTATGAAAGAAAGCATGTAGATGTTTAAAATGTTGATCTATAGAATGTGAAAAAATAAGAATATCATCAATGTAAACAATGCAAAATTTTGAGTGTGCATTAAATATGTCATTCATGATGCATTGGAATTCAGAAGGAGCATTTTTTAGTCCAAATGGCATAACATTCCATTCTTATTGGCCGAAAGGAACCGTGAAAGCAGTTTTGTATCTATCTTTGGGATCAATTTGGATTTGCCAGAATCCAGATTTCATATCGAACTTGGAAAATATGAATGCAGAATGTAGTTTTTGTAATAAATCTTTTTTGTTGGGGATTGGATATCAGATCCATTTGAGAGCAGAATTTAGGGGTTTGTAATTGATCACAAGTCTTGGTGTGCCTCGTTCAATTTCAGAGTTTTTGTTTACATAAAACGCTGCACACGACCAGGGTGATCGAGACTTTTGGATAAGACATTTAGACTCGAGATCATGGATCTCAAGTCTGCAATGCTGTTCTAAATCAGCATTCATTTGTATAAGTCTTGCTTTTGTGGGTATTAATTTTTCTGAAAGGGTATCTTCATACGGAAGATCAACAATGTGTTGCTTTCTTTTCCAGAAAGCATTAGGTAGGTCAGAACAGATTTGTTGTTCAATTTTATTTTGTAAGTCAACGACTTTTTAGCATAAATCAGGGTGCTGGAGTTGTTTAGTTATGCGACAAAAGGAAACATGGTTTTGTAAATCATGTAAATGGAACTGTTTTCCATGAATTAGTGCATTGAGATGATAAGTATGTATAGAGCATGCTTTAATTAAATTTAAATTTCTAGTCTTGGACTTCTCTAAGAAGGGGAAAATAAGTTTGGAGTTGTTAATTTTGGAAGTAATACAATTATGATGTGCTTGATATGGAGTGATCATGTCAATGAATGTAGTGCCGAGAATGATGGTATGATTAATATCTTTAGTAACAACAAAAAAAGTTTTAAGAGAAATGCCTTTATTGAAAACAGAGGCTTGGGTTTTACCCATAATATGTAATTTTGAGTTATTAGCAGCAGAGAGTTTTTCAGAAGTATTTTGTAAAAATTGTTTTGGGACCACTCTTTCTTTGATGCAGTTTAAATCTGCACCTGTGTCAAATAAAACAATAGTGTCAAGTTTGAAATCGT